TTGCACCACGATCTAGAAGTAGTTTTAATATTTCATAATTATTTTTATGAGCTGCTAAAATCAATGGCGTTATGTCAGATGTAAAGTTCGATGATGCATTTGCAATTTCCCAACTCTGAAATAAAATATAAAATATTGTTTTATTTATTAATTATTTTATTAATGTATTAGAGAACATAATAAATAAAAATTTTTAATAAATTAATATTTTAATAAATAAAAATTAAATTATGCTTATTTTGATTTTGTTTTAAGCCACTTCAAGCGGCTCGCATCGCTAGTAGCTATTGCCGTTTGAAGTAAACAATTTCTCACACGCTTATCAACGATGATCGCCGGATGGGAGTATCATATCGCGCGCTAGCATTTGCCGGTGGGCCAGGCTAATACGGTCATTTTTAAGAATTAAAAAAAATAACTCGTTAATTATTGCGAAAATTGCAAAATAGTACAGGATTTTTCGACTTCGATTCAGCTTAGCCCGCTCTATCTATTCACGAAATTAATCCTATTACGTGTCTGGGACATCCCGTATACAGGATGAATCTTAATGGATGTGCTATTTTATCATGAGAGGAGTTACCGACTGTAATCTATTTGTTATCCATGATGGTAATTGCTTGGATCGAATATACAAATTTTTACAAATATACTTCTTATGGAAAAATTGCACAATTATGTTTTTCTATAAGAAAAATATTTTTTTACACAATATTTGTATATAAATATAAATATAATAAAAAATGAAAAATAATAACAGTAATAACATCCAGTAATAACTTCCATACCATACTCCATACCATACTTCCATACTCTTGAGGTTCCACTTTAGGCTTTTTAAAATGGACCTTCGCCTGGAGCAATATTATGCCACATTTTTTTCTGACCTATTTTTCGGTATGTAAGGCTCAAATAGATATATTACGGTCGTATTGCGTAAAGGCACACGTAAATAAAAAAATCACATTAACGTGTGACCATTCGCAACATGTCCACAATCTATCATATTTTTATTTGTGACAAAAAATGTTATAATTATAATAATTATAATTAATGTTAATGTTATTATTATAATAATTTGTTAAGTTGTTAAATTGTTTTTAATAAGTTGTTAACCCATATTAGTTGTTAACAATAATTTGTTTGTTGTGCTAACAATTTTATTCATGACTGAAATGGTGTTAAAGAATATTTATATTTTTTTTGCATTCATTTATTAATTTTTATAACTTGCATTTAAATGTCAATTAAACAGTATCAAATATTTTATAAAAAATGTACATTTCACTATCACACTTTCTTCAAAAACATAAGCCGCTTTATTGTAACATTTGCGTTGCCACTGTATATCGCTACCGAAATTAATCGAAAAAAATATGACAAACTAATCGCATCAACAAACTAATAGCATTATTGAACTTACGTAAGGTTGTCCTGGCTTGTGTATTTTTTCCTCCCATTCCAGTAAGATCTCTACCGCTTCCACGTACTCCTCTTTAATAGCATGCAAAAGTGCATCCTGAAAGATGCGCGAATTATGGTTTTAAGTGTTTCACGCTCGTAAGCGTTAGGCTATGGCTAAGATATTATAAATATTATAATGCATAGTTTATAATAGCATTATTTATAACGGTTTATATTGTTTCGTACATGATGATCTAAAGTGTGAAATACATATACGCACGGAACTATTATTAGCGTATCCCGGTAGACATCGATTACGGTATATCAACGTAACGCGCATTACTAGTAATAATTAGGGGAACAGCCGTCACGCATAATTTTCATGAGAGACATCGTGCTGTTTTGACCCCACGATATTTACCTTCACTTCAATTCCCAATTCGAGTAACAGTTTGATAAGTTCAATATTTTCATTTTCAATAGCGGCTATCAGTGCCGATCGATTTAGTGGATCAACACAATTGATATTTAATATTTCCGGATGATCCTGATTCTCTTCAATTAACCTATTCAATAAATTACATGACAATTATCAATTAGATACATCCATATATATGAATATATACGAATATCTAAGAAAAATTAATTTATGATAATAATTACGGCAATTGTGATAACAGGAGTGATCATTGCAATATTCGTTTCATTTAAAGTGTTTCATTCATTAACAAAATTGTTTCAATTATCACACCAACAATAATTTAAAGAAGATATTTTCTCTTAATGGAAAGTTGCAGTCAAATACAATTAAGAAAAATCATTAGTTATTATAACTTTTCAATCATTTTTTAAATCTTTGTGACTAAGATTTAAATTAAAATCCTTAATTTAAATCGTATTATGATGTAATTGATTTAAAATTAATTGAACAACAATATTGTTCGCTCCCTTTCCTCCTGGAATTATTTGACACAAATCTTATTTTAACTAATTAAATATTGGAATATATTTACAATTTTTCAGTTCCATTTTATTGATTTTTCAATTTGACTGAAGAAATCAATAGATGATAATCCATGATTTTAAAATAGTATATGCGCATATATTTTTGCTCATCTCTTTGCTTGGCCGAAAAGTTTCGTGAAAATATTACGTAATAAATAATGATACAATTTCCTCTTTAGAAAAATACAAGCCATAACATTGACTTTGAAATATGTTCATAATCCTCTATAATCTTCAAAACATATTAACTGTCATTAGATTAGGTTTATTAGAAAATTATAAATAATAAATATTATAAATAAATTAATAATTTAATTCTTCCGTCTATTCTTTGATCTAATCTTTTTAATTCATTCAATAATTAGGTAAAATATTATTTTATTATTTTGCTCTTCAGAAATATTATTGATATTTATTTTAAAAGTAATGAATAACTATATGTAAAACAAATAAAATGCATTATTTTTAAATATATATATACAGGATGTTCCGCGAGACTTGTGCCACCGCTCGTAAAAAAATAGATGGGACTGATGATGATCATAAAACGGCAATAGCTACGCACGAGCCGCTTGAAATAAACAATTCCTCACGCGTTTATCAACAATGATAATCGGACGGGAGTATCTTACCGCGCGCTTACTTTGCCGGTAGATCGGGTTAATATGATTTTTAATAATTAATATCTCGATTAATATTGCGATCACAAATGGTATGGACTTTTGTGGTTCATCTCAGTCCCA